CAGCTCAGCCTTCACAGGCGGTCAGGACAGAGGTTGGCAAAGAACCCTCCAGCCTTTATTTATTTTTATTTTTTCCTTTTATTGATATTAGAGAGAGAGGAAGGGAGAGAGAGAGAGAGATGGAAACATCAATGAGAGAGAACATCGATTGGCCGCCTCCTGCATGTCCCCCACTGGGGATCGGGCCCACAACCTGGGTGTGTGCCCTGACCGGGAATTGAACCAGCATCCTCTTGGTGCAAGGATTAACGGTCAACCACTGAGCCACACTGACTGTGCAAATCTTCCAGCCTTTTAAAGTGAACGGAAATATTCAATCATTAATTAATTCCACAAATTTAATTTTCTAATACCTTTATTATCTTTGCTGATGATCCGCATGATACGTATTCATTTAAAAAATGAAATACATACTGAAAAGCATAAAGAGCTTAACCCAGTTCTGTTCTCACACACAGACCAACAGCCACCATCCACCAATGTGTTGGCATTTTATTGTCTAAATACACAAACAAGCTTTTAAAAATTGAGATTACACTGAATCTGTAAACAGTTTTCGTACTTAACGCTGCACCGTGAGCATCTCTCCACCTTATTCCCTGCGCTGCAGAGACGAGCGGCCCCAGGCTGCCGCGCTTCACCATATGGCTTCGCCACCATCTTCCCCAGGCCCCGATCTGGATGTCGGCGGGGGAGCGTTCTTGCCCTCTGAATAACAGTACCCACCTGTGTTTCAGCAGATGTTTGCGAGTGTCTTCTGGGTGCCAAGGGGGCTTGAGGACAGAGGTGAATGACCGTGGAGTCCTAGTCACTGCTGCATGAGGACACACCCATGACAAGTGGCTGCAGGTAAGGTGCTGACCTGAAACACACCACGCTAGGAGGGAGCCTGGGGGAGAGGCTGGGCCAGGGAGCTGTGGCCTGGGCGGCTGTCCACGGCAGAAGAGGGATAGCCTCGGAAGGTCTCTGTGCCTGCCGGGGATGGGGCAACCAGGTCCAAGCACTAGAAGTGTGCCACTCACTTTGCAATCACTTTCTACCTGCCCCAGGAAACCCGGGGTAACACCAGTGCCCAGCCTGTACCGGGAGGCTGGTGATGCTGTTCCTGCTGGGCTAGCACCCTTTCCTCCTTGTCCTGCCCCTGAGACGTGCCTCCCTCCTGCTCTAAGACCACAGGCATGAGGGGCATCTTTGACCCAGGCCATGGACTCAGCCACTGGGCGCCCTCATTTGGCCCTACTCCCAGCTCTTCTCCCTCTGCAGGGAGCCCCAGTCAAGCTGGACGGTGGGACTGTAACCTCTGACCTGGCAGAGAAATGTTGGGAGGCAGGTGTCCTCCTGTCTGTCCTCCCTGAGGCCAGAGAGCTGGAGGGGAGGGGCCTTTGCTGGAGGAGCACGTGTGGAGCCCTGCCCCAAGGCTCCCACACACTCAGAGACACAGGAGCCCATTGAGGTGCTCCTGGCCTGCCTGTGACCCTGCCCGGGAGCTGTGGCCTTGGAAGGACCAAAGTCAGCTCTATCAGCTTTCGAGGCTTTAACTTTGAGTTGGGAGAAATGAGCGCAGGCCACACTGTCAGCAGCACTGTTGGCTTGGGAAGAAGGTCTGCTCCCTCATCCCTGTAGGCTGCGGAGGGTAAGGCTGTAGCAGAACATGTGTTTGCCGGAGTTCAGCAATCCTGGGTTCGAGTCCAGCCTGAGTCACTGCTCTGACCCTCAGCCTCCTAGCAGTTCCTGGCACAGGGATAATGACACCCACACCCGGCAGACTCAGGGGTTGGAGATGCTGCTTGCAAAGGGCGTGGTGCCAGCCATCCAGCACCCAGGGGCTCTGGTAAAGGGCAGGTACGAGCTGGGCGCCCGCTCTCTTCCTTTGCTGCTTCTTGAAGGGCAGACGGTGCTGAAATCCCCAAGCTCCTCTCCTGGGGGGTAGGCTCTGCTCCCCTGTGCTCTCGGTTCTGAAATGGCACCTCCCCACCTGTGCTGAGTGGCTTCCTCTGTGGGCAAATAGGAAGTTGCTTACCTCAAGGGAGGCAGGAAGAGCTGACTGACAGGCTGCCTGCCCACAGCTGTGGTCATGTTCTGAGAGTGTGTGTCCTCTGGGCCCCGGGGAGGGGGACAGTGGCTGGGTAGGGAACCCCAGGAGTGAGGAGGGGATCAAAGCTCAATGCTGCTGGGGGCCTGGGCACAAACCAGTTTCTCCTTTTGTGCCCTCCTTGCCCCCCCCCCCCCCCGCATCTTGCTGTCACCCAGGAGTCCCAGCCAGAGTTGCTCCTTGCAGTCTTGGGAAGGAGATGGACGTTCTAGCAAATGGGACAGAGCTGGAGGCTGCAGGGGTCTGGGGTCTCCTTCAGAAGTTGGCTGCACTCAGGAACCACCCCTAACCGTACCCCAGAGCCCCAAACACACCCCCTCACATACAGGACCGGCACTGGGAGAAGAGGAGGGGCAGGCCCCCTTGCCGAGGGCGGGACGAGAGCCGGTCCTCTCTCCGCGCGTGGAGCGCTGTGAGCCGCCGCACAGCCGGCACTGCAGGGAGAGCCTGCGTCCTGCCCTGGGAGTCGGCAGCAGAGGGCAGGAGCCGGTCACTGGGCCTCTCCCGCCAGCCCTGTTGGGGCCACAGGGAGCTGAGGACCCCTGGGCGGGTGGGGAGGCCGGAGCAGAGAGGGTGGGAGGCCGCCCCATCCTCACCTCGGGCCCCCTGGCTCCTGCTCGCGTTGCCCCTGCCCTCCATCTCTGCCTGTCTGTTATCTCCGCGGCCACGTTCAGTGGTCACTGTTACTGCGAATCTCCCTCCACGGTGCAGGAGCATTCGACAGAGCCGACCACTTCCTTTTCTGAAGTTACCTCCTCTCTCGCCCTCTGACAACACGCTCGTGTGTCTCTCGCCTCCTTGACCGTGAGGCCTCTCCTGGGCAGCCCCGGCCCCCAGCACGGACCCCCTTTGCTGCTGGCGGCGGGCGCACACTGGTTCTCCAGCCCAGCCCATCCGTCACTCCAGGCCTGTTTTTCAGTTGCCTGCTCAAGCATCTCACAGACATCACAGACCTAATATTTAAAAAATCAGAGCCTTGACTTTCTCCCCGATGCCTCGTCTCCCTGACTCTGTCCCATCTCAGCAGGTGCCATTACCACCCATGGCGTCGCTGCTGCCAGAAACCCAGGGGACCCTGACTCCCCGTCCTCCACACCTCCCGTCTGCCGCAGGGCAGATTCTGCCAGCCACCCAGTAGATACCCCAAGTCCTCTGTGTCCCCTCCGCCACCACAGCCTTGCCCATGCCACCTCCCCTGGACAGCCACAGAGCCTCCCTGCCCGCTCTCACCCAGCTCTGCCGCCCTCTCCCTGCAGCCGCCCACGGTCTGATCTTAATCTCTGCACAGAGACTCCCCACCCTGCTTGCTGCTGGGGACCCACTTTCGCCCCCAGGTCACTGCTCCAGCCAAACCAGCCTCTTTCTGTTCCCTTAACTCAGGAGACCTTGTGGCCTCAGGTGAGGAAGTAGCTGTTCGGGTCCCTCGGCCTAAAACCTCCCACGCTCTTCCCGGCTCTCCCCATGCTGGCTGCTCCCCGTTTCTCTCCCACCTCATGAGCTCACCCCGCTCTCTCATTTCTCCCTCCCCCGTCCTCCCCAGCATCAACATGACCAGGCATCGATGTATCCGTCCACCCTGTCATTTTGTCTCTGCCACTGGACTGGAAGCCCCCCGAGGGGTTGTTTTCTTCCTGGTGGGTCAGCCTCTGTCACGTGAGATCAGCCTTCCTGCGGGAGGCTGAGCAGTGGCCACATGCCAGAGACCCCGAGGCTGAGTCGGGAGGGGCGGGAGGGCCGGGCTTGCATTCCGGCCGGGTCACTGGCTCTGGCTCACACCGGGCAGTGCCGTAAGAGTCCAGACGCAGGAGGAGGGGCCGCTGGGGCGGGGCAGTAATGAACCAGGTTGTGCCACTGAGTTTGAGGTGCCCCCAAAGTTTTCATCCCTGAAAGAACAGTGGAGGCCCCATCTGACACGGAGCATGTGTCCAGGTTATAGCTGCAGCTGGCAAACTCCCGGCGGGTGCCCCCTGTTCTGCCTCCCGCCTTAACCGTGACCCGGGATCTCAGCCTCCTGGTAACGTGGCCGCTGCAGGAGAGCCCAGCCCAGCCTTGGCCCCGCCACAGCCCCTTCCCCTCCTGTTTCCCTCCTGCCCACAGCCCTGCCCCCACCCCGGGCCTAGGGCCTCACGGGGCAGCGAGGCAGTGTCCCATGCGAGGAAGAGGCCACATGGCCCGGGAGGCAGAGAGTCCAGGCTCCCGGGCGCCTGCAGTGTGGTGCGGAGAGGTCTGCAGGCTCGTCCCTCTGGACCCTCGCCCGGGGTGCCGCTGGAGGAGGGCTGGAGCCGCTGCCCCGCTCCCTGGACTGCGGGCGGTGCAGCCCGGTCTGAAGGCGAGGTGTGAGTGGGGGTCCCTGGGAGTTAGATCTCTGAGGACCGGAGCCGGGTGCCGCAGGGGCTCAGGACTCTCAGCTGACAAGTTGGGTGGTAGTTGAGGCTGGAGAGGTAGACGGACTGCAGACACAGGAACGGAATAGCTGGCTCACTCGTGGGCACCTGTGGCCTGTGTTCCACGGAGGTGTCAGGAATTCAGTGAGAGGAACGGCCGGTAGTTGGCTGCGGTGGTCAGAGGCCCTGCGCTCTAACCCCAGCCGCTGCCCGGCTGTGGAGCCCCGGGCCGTGCTGGGCCTCCGAGCCCGCCCCATCCCATCTGTCTAATGGGTGCAGTGACACTTCTTCGGACGGTGAGAGGAGCGGCTGAGGCCCTGCTGGGGAACACCGTGACTCTGAGACAATTGCATCAGGTGACAAAAATCAAAATGTCGATTGTTGACAACAGAAAGGAACACTTGCCCAACTTGGGCCTCCTGTGTCCCACCGGGTGCCCCGCAGGGAACCGAGAGCGGCAGAGATCAGAACTGGTGACAGAACCGCAGGCAGGAAGGGGCGGGGCCTGCACCTTCCCCTTTCTCTGTCCCCGGCCCTGGGGGAGAAGGGTTCGATGCTGGACCAAGTGTGTGTTGGGGTGGGGGGCCCCTGTGGCACGGGGCCTGGAGGCTCCTGTCTTGTGGGCAGGAAGTGAGAGGGGCAGAGCAGCTGGGGAGCCCAGGGAGGCCGGGGAGCAGAGCAGGAGGGGTGAGAGTGTCTGGGGTGAGGGGAGCGGAAGTCGGAAGCTCCTGCCACCACATTCACCACTCACGGGGCAGACACACGGCACGGACGGCCCTCTGCAGGGGGTCCTCTACAGGGTCCTTGGAGGTGAGCGAGGTGGGCTGCTGGGGCCTGGGCCGGAGCTGGGGGCAGGGCACTGGAGAGTCATGTGTGCCCTGGTGGCCATGGCTGGGGCAGGTGGGCAGAAGGGCGGGCTCCGTGGGCTCCGCTGTGCACCTGTGTGAGCCTGGGCTGTGCCCACCCCTTCCCCTTCCTTCTCCTGGCCCCCTCCTCTCCCACCTTCCCAGCCCATCTGGCCCTTTCTCTGCTTCCTGCCCCAGCCGCACTAGAGCCCTTTGGAGTCTGCAGCAGCGAATGTGGGCGCCGAGAAACCTCTGGGTGCCCAGTGGGGGCTCTTGGGGCCTGAGGCCTCGAGTAAGCCTTGACCCTCGGCCTTTGAGGGAAAGAGGCCAGACCGGCTGGGGTTTCTGGGGTGGGGGCAGCTTTGGGTGTGGTCACCGCAGGAGCTCAGACTCAGCTCTTAGGGGGCTCCTAGCCCCACCCAGAGAGACTGGTTACAGGCAGACACCCGACTCGCCCGTTTGCCAGTTTACGCCTGTTGACCTGAGGGGCAGCAGAAGCCATGTCACTCCCAGTGTCCCCGTGTGGGGCACCAGAGTCCTTCCAGGGTGACCGTGTCCATGGTGTAGCCAGCCCCGGGAGCAGCGCCCCACACCGCCCTGGTTCTGGAGCTGGACATGCTGCGTTGGCATCTCCTCTGCTCACAGGCTGGGCAGGGCCACCTGTCATCAGCCGGTAGCAGTCCCCTCAGGACTGTGGGGCCCGAGCCCTCCGGTGCTCCCTGTCCTTCAGGCAGCAGCTGCTCTGAGACCCGCTGGCGCTCTGCCCCCCCACCCCCGCCCTCTTCATTCTTCCGCCTGCCTGAGGCCTGGCTGACCCCACCCCTGGGTCCTCAGCACCCTGGAGCCTCCCTCCTCCGCCCCTCCCCCCTGCACATTTGCATGAAGGCTCCTTGTGGGGCCAGGAAGTGGAGCCTGCCCTCAGCGTCTGGGTGCGCAGTCCCCAGGTTCAGGCAGGGGCGCCCCCGTCCTGCAGCTCCAGATGGGGGCTCCACCGGTGGCCCCTGCCCTGACCCAGCTCCTGCGGGCTCCACAGGGAAGCATGGGTCACTTCCTCCATCCCTGGACAGGCCGGAGCCTTGACTTTTCCATAGGAAGGAACATATTTCCAGGCAAAAATAACTGTTTGCCGAGTGAACGCTTAAAGGGAGACACACACAGTCCAGAGAGGAGGCTGGGGCCGGCTGTGGAGGCGGAGAGCACAGGTGCCCCGGTTTGTTTCGCTCCCTGAGGATCCTCAAAGCAGCAGAGTTAAGCAGGCAGGACATGGTACCTCTGAGCACCCACCAAGGCCCAGGCCCAGCACCGGGGCGCAGACCCACGGAGTGGCTCGCTCCATCCCATCTCCTCGTGTTACAGGTGAGGAGCCAGGTGGAGTGTCTGAGCCGAGTCAGTGGCTGATCTGCTGCAGTTAGGATTCGAGTCGAGTGTGGCCTCAGGTGTGGGCGGACAGGAGCCCAGCTGTCCCCAGCCTTCTGCCAGGGGGACAGGCACACCTCTCTCAGAAAGCACAGTCCCGCCGCCATCTGGGTCCCTCCTGTCCCAACCTCAGAAAGAAGCCGTGGTCTGGAGCTTTAGCACTTCCTCGGAGTCGGCAGCCACTCCACCTCGCCCAGAACGCGCCCTCCGGCTCCCTGCGCCCTCGCCGTGCTTCCGAAAATGAAGGGCCGCTTTGTGTGGGAGGAAGCACAGCCCACCTTTTGAGGCATGTGGCGGACTTTCTCCCTCCCTTGTTCTGAGGACACCTGGGACTAGACATTTCAGGAGATTTCATTAAGTGCAAAGGGTGAAAAAAAAGTCCACCAAGAAGATTCTAGATGCAAGAGACCAGGCCTTGCCTGAGAGGCACCATCCTACTGCCCCGAAACAGGCCTTGCCCTGCTTGACCCTGTCCCTTGATCCCTGCTGGGCCAACCTGCCTCACCCAGGTGGGACTGCCTCACCCCTCAGGTCATTCCACCCTCCAGGCAGGGAGGGGAAAGTGAAGAAAGAAATAGAGAAAGGTGGGGAGTCGAGGGAGATAGAGAAAGAGACAGACAAATAGAAAGAAGGAAAGATAGTAGGTACGTAGATAGATGGATGGATGATTGGATGGATGGATGGATGGATGGATGGATGGATAGATAGATGATAGATAGATAGATAGATAGATAGATAGACAGACAGATAATTGCAGGGCCCCTTCCACAGGTGGAGGGCACAGACAAGGGACTGAGTGGGTCCTCCAGTCCTCTCTCCATCCAGCTGCTCCTGGGAGCCAGGACACACACACACACACACACACACACACACACACACACCAGTGTTTTGGCGTCTGGCCCCTCAGGAGCACCCAGGGACAGCTCCACTCTCCACACTGGGCTTCCTGGGAAGAAGATGTAGTTGGCTCATGGGCAGCCTGACCGCAGATCATAAGGTCACGTGATGGAGACTCTCCTCCGGCTCGGGCTCCCTGGGTCCCCAGTGAGTTTGCTGAGGATCCACCTGTCCCTCCCTCCCTCCCCGCACCGGCCTCCTTGTCCCTTCTCACAAGTCCTCTGGAGTGCCCCCGCAAAGTCCAGCAGGCCTTGCCCTGGCCAGTGGGGACAGACGGACGAGGCCCTGCTCGCGGGTTTGTGGGTGCCCGAGGGAGTGGTCAGAGGAGAGAGTGGGTGAGGAGAGCCGCGGAGCGGGGTCCGGAGCCCGACCCGCTCCCCGCTGAGCTCCCTGCACAGTTCCCCATCGGCAGAGGAGCTGCCGGGCTCACGCATTCCTGCCCCTCCCCGCAGGGCAGGGTTGCCAGGTGAAACACGGTGCCCAGTTGTGTTTGCGGTTCAGCTAAACTGGATACTTTTTTAGTACAAATACGTCCCAAATGTTGGGAAGGAGAGATGGGTGTCCTATACATTTATTTACTAAATGGCAGCCCTGCCACGCAGCTGTGACCCCCCAGGTGGAACTGCCATCTGGAGCCAGGACCCCCCGGCCCCCAACAGGCTCTAACCCCACGTCTCACAGGTGGTCACGAACTTCTTAGTCACGCTAACCTTGACGCTTCTATTCTGTTTGAAGCGTGACCACATCCCTCCACCCGAACTGTCGGTGGGAGCGAGCTAACAGGGGCAGGCGCCGAGTGAATCGGTCACCCGCTCGTCCCTGGGAGACAGCTGCACCAGGACCTGCCTTCATGGCGCGCTCACCCTGGGAAAGGGGACTAGACATGGCATGTTGGGGTGAGGGGGCAGCGTAGCGGGCTGAGTTTCCCTGGTTCTGAGTCATGGCCCCATCAGACCAGATACTCGTCCCCTGCCAACTGCTGTGGGTCTGTCTCTGTGTTCTCCTCCCATGGCTCCCCCATCCCCACCTTGCCCTCCTCCCCAGGCCCTTCAGATGTCTCGTCTCTTTGAACTCTGCCTTCTCTTTGGTCTTGGGAAAGCTGTCGCGGCTTCTCACACCGTCTCCCCTTGACTGTCGGGGAACCCCTGGTTCCTTCGGAGGCAAGTCCAGGTCTGGCGTGGAATCCGCGTTGACCCGTGTGGCTGCTTTGTGTACATGCGGGTATTTGTGTAGAAGTACGTATTTGCATGATGGACCTGTGGGGCTCCTTATGAAAAGTTGCAGGACGCCGTTTTCACTCAGCCCGCCCACCACCTCTGTTCCGTTACTGGCTTTTGACCTTTTCCTGTCGAGTGAGTTCACTGGTGACAGCAGAGGTGCCATGTCACTGGGGCACAGTGCTCTGGTGCCACACGACGGCCCCTGAAGCTGGACACATTCAGAGGCAGGGGTGGGGTTTGGAGGAATGAGGACCCACCGGAAAGGGTCCCGGGAGGGGACAGCACACGTAGGTCTCAGCCAAGAGGGAGAGTACTGGGATGCCCTGTGGGGGTCCCTGGAGGCTGGGTGCTTTTCTCCCTGCTCCTCCCCTCTGCCCGCCCCTCCCCTAAATTGGAGCTTAGAGTTACCGGTGCCCTCGGTGCCCTCCGGGTTGTTCAGGAGGCAACTGGGGGCTTCCGTCTCCTGCTCCCTTTTAGTCTCTCCCCGCCAGGTGGGCCTGGGGATGGAGTCCAGAGGGGCTGCCCCAGTACAGACTGTGGGTCCTGAGGCTCACTCCTGCCCCCTTGGAAATAGGACCACAGCAGGTCTCCCACCAGAGAGCACAGCCAGGGCTTAGGGGGCAAACCATGTGACTCCTCAGCCCTCGCCTGGGGCAGGGGCGTGGGGATGGGTGGGGAGAGGCCTGAATGACCACCGAAAGCTGAGCTAAAAGCCTGGGAGACCTCCAGGAGACAAGGACAGGCAAGCCGGTTCCCAGAGCATCGAATACATGATTGAGAAGTGGGGTCACAGCTTATTGTGGGGTGGTGACTGGGAACCCAGAGATAAACGGGCCCTGAAGGCCGGATGAGGGCCTGTCTTGGGGCTAAAACTTCAGAATCCCGAGGCCACCGTCCCGCAGTGGCACACTCTTGCTGGAAGTGAGGAGTGTGGGCGGGACAGGGGGGTGGAGGCCCAGGAAGGGACCTTGGTGTTCAGGGCAGTTGGTTTTCGAGGGAGGATGGTCTCAAGAGGAATCAGAAACTGAAATTTCTGGTGGTCCTGTCTCGTCTCCCTCGGTTATTCCGAAATAATAGGGACAGCGCAAGCTATGCTTTCTAGGGGGCCTTACACAGCAGGGCCCCATCCGACCTTGGTTCTCCAGCCCTGGGGCTCCCTCTTGTGGGGTGTGTATGGGGGCTGCACGGTGGGTTTACACACAGGTGCGGGTCGTGTGTGTGTGTGTGTGTGTGTGTTCGTCGGGTTGTTTCCCCCAGTGTTTCAGTGCAGATCACAGGCACACAGTCCTCGAGACAGAAACCCATGCGAGGGGTCAGGCGAAGGGAGAATCAGAGCAGATGCCTGAGGCCAGGGGCGCACTTCGTACCGGAACTGCGTGTCCTGGGGACCTGGGGGCCTCACCTCACACCTCCCGAGAGCCAGCATGAGGCGGAGACAGTCCAGTTCCGAGTTTCACAGTGGCCAGGGCATCAAAACAAGCCAGATGGTCGGAAGACGCAGCCCCTGCCCGCTGCAGGTGGCCCGGTCTGCCCGGTGGGCGGAGCAACCACGCTCCAGGAGCTCAGGCCCAGCTTCCTGGGCACCTGGACCAGCTTCCACCTGGCCCAGCCGCTCAGCTGTACGTGAGGACCAGCGGCCATCTCGCCAGGGGCGAGGCCCCAAAGACAGGAGCCTTGGGAGGGGACATAGGCAGGCTGTGGCCTTTTCCTCGGTGCCTGCTTCTCCCGTGGGAATCTGTTCCGTTTCCTCCACTCTGGTCTGTCTCCTTTGCTGCTGCCTGCGTTGGTTTACGTGTTGTTTTCCACTTATCGCCGACTTCATGCTGTTTTGAGGCCTTCCCATCTTCTGCTGCCAACGGCCTCTCCATTCCCCGGTCTAGGTCCCTGAGAGGTTCTGATGGGGCCTGTCCATGTTTTTCAGCTAAGCCCTAGGCCACCTTCAGCCCGCAGACGGGTGTCTTTGGAGCAAGCGGTTGGGACGGTGGGGTCCGAGGGCATGCCTAGTGCACTCCCCCCGTGTGGAGGGCAGTGTGCCCAGCCGGGGCCGGGGACATGGCAGGGACTCCCAAACACGTCTGGACACGAGACACGATTGGAAGCTGACCTGCCTTTGCTTTGGCACTTGCAGGGCAGAGTGGACTCCTGTGCCCCCGGCCAGCGCTCCCCCGAATCCACACCATGGGACTGTGAAGGTGGACGCCGCTGGGACTCCCGCCCTTGCACCCTGGATGATGGGCGACGACAGGCTCTCTGAACACCCCGGACCCGTGGAATTTCTCAACATCTGCTTGGGAGACGACCTGCAGCCCCGCCCAGGAGTGCCGCCCAGTGAGACGTGCAGCTGTACTGAGCTGCCCAAACCTTTCCGGGAGCAGACCGGGGCGTCTGACCCGTCTGGCTCCCCCAGGAGGCGAGATGGCCCTCCCAGGGGCTCCAGCGCAGAGCCCGGGGGCCTGGGGACCGAGCCTTCCCAGGGAAGCCCAAGGCAGAGCCACAGCACGTCCACCCAGGTGGTCTTCTGGGCAGGCATCCTGCAGGCCCAGATGTGCGTCCTGGACCTGGAGGAGGAGCTGGAGAAGACTGAGGGGCTCAGGGCCGAGCTGCGGTCCTGCATCCCCAAGGCCCCCGTGGACCTCGCCCCTCTCTCCTCCGGCCCGGCGAGCCCCCTGGACGCGGGCCTCCGCCCCAGCCCGCCCGTGGAGGAGGCCTCAGGGGCAGACAGCAGCAGGCCTGCGGGAGAGAACCAGGTCCCCGCGTCCCCCGGGGAGGGGATGCCTGGCTCTTCCCCGGAGTGGGGTGCCGAGGAGGAGAGCCTGTTCTTTGACAACCCCCTCTTCCTGGAGAGCCCTTGCTCCGACACCAGTGCTCCCGGGGTGCGCTTCACCTGGGGGTACCCGGACTCCTGCGCCGACGTGAGGCCTGAGAGCCCACAGACCCTGGAGCCTCCTCTCCCGACAGGCAGTGTGCTGTGGGGGCTGGGAGATGAGCCAGACTGTGGGGGCAGCTTGGCCGATTCTAGCGGGTGCAACACCCCTCCGTTCCCTGTGCCCACCTACAAGCCACACTCCTTCTCCTGGGCCGCGCTGGACTCCATGGACCAGGCTCCCACGGCGCCTCCTGGCTGGGGGCAGAGTGAGGTAAGGGGGCCCTGAGAACCGACCTGGAGCTGTGCCAGGGGACACAGGACAGGCCTTGCTCTGTGGTCACCGGGCCAGAACAGGCTTCAGATGCCAGGGCTTTTGGGGACCCTGGAGTAGTAGGACAGGAAGGGCCAATGTGGCCTGGAAGTCGTGGGTCCACTGAGTGTGATCGCCGTTACAGCCTCAATATCCCCGTCCCGCCAGCTCTGAGCGGGTCAGGACACGCTGGGAAGCTGGCGCCCCTCCAGCTGCAGACTGTTCCTGGCCATTCTCAGGCTGCCCCTCCCCCTCCGACACACTCCTGGCTGTAGCTCAGGGGTCAGCTGCCAAGGGTGACCTCTGCCCTGACGGGAGACTTCTGTTCGAGTGCCGTCCTCTCTTTCCTTAGAGATTCCAGCATTTGGTTACTTTCAGCTCACCATCTTCCATTCCTCCTCCCTGCCCCACGTCAGGAGGTCAGGCCCAGAGGACAATGGCAGAGGTGCTTGATATCAACTAGGACAAGTTATGGGACAAGTGTGTGAGACGATAGGGAGCAGTTTCCCAGGGAGGCCTCTGCCAAATGATGGAAGAGCAGGGCTGTGACTCTCGTCTCAGTCCCAGAGGGCAGTGGAGACCCGTTACCCCGAGAGCAGAGGGGCTGCTGCCGCGTGCTGCCCGCACCCTGTCACCCACAGGCTGGGGTCCCAGTGTGGGCCGGCCTTCTGGGGTCATCAGAGGGAACCTGGGAGCCCCCTCCTCATCCTCAGAGCCTGCAGTGTGTGCCCACCGGGATGGCAGGCCCTGCCCGGTGCCTGGCAGCTGTCGCCCTCCCGATGACACGGCCCTGCTTGGGCTGGTGCCGCAGGAAGCAGGGCACCCTGGGGGGCCGTGGAGGGAGGAGGGCGGCAGAGAAGACCAGAAGTCAGGGGGCGTGGACCTGAGGCCTGGGAGGCCCCGAGGGGTGTGGGGAGGCCCTGGGCCGGTTTCCCCGGTCAAACCACCTCTCCGTTTCTTCTCAGGCTTCTCTGGCAGACAGTCCAGATCCTGCGGCATCCTGTGTGGACAAAGCATTGGCCTGGGAAACGGGTCATGTCAGCTCTGACCCCAACCCTGCCACTCATCCTGTGCATCCTTCGGCAAGTAACTTCCCCTCTCTGTGCCTCAGTTCTCCGGCGGTAAGGAGGAGCTGAACCAGGGGCTTCCAGGGCTCCGTTCCCGCGCTCCGAGGATGTGGGTCTCCTCCCATCCGAGATTCCCCCTCTGAGCACAGGCCCAGGCTGGGTGGGAGGGCAGCAGGGAGGGAGGGCCCTGTAACTCAGTCATTTTCCCTCCCTCTCCTCCCCCTCTCCCTGTCTGGACTCCTGTTCAGCCCTCCGGGCCTCCAGGGCTCACGAACACCCTGCGCCTCTCCACAGGCCCTGCCGCATGCCGAGGTGTGGCACACAGAGCAGGTTCCTTCCTGGCCCCAGGTGTCTCCTATCTCCCAGGACAGAGGTGAGACCCAGTGTGGGGTCTGGGACATTGGGTGGTGGGAGGCTTTGGCATCTGGAGTGGGACAAAGGTCATTCTGGGATCCATGGGCATCATGAAGGGTCCTGTTGTACTGTATTGGAGCCAAACAGACTTGGGTTAACTCCTGCCTATGCCTCTGTGACATCACCAGGACTGTGGGTTTTAACTCCTCATCTCAGAGTAAATGGAGAAATGTACGAGAGACCCTCATTTTCCACGTGTGGGTCTTAGTGCCTTACCTTCCTGAGCCCTGGGTGCCTTGGGGCTGGGGTTCTGGGAGCCCTGTGCCTCTGCCTGTGGGAGGTCACTGCCTGAAGGAGGGACAGGACCTGCTTCCCGCACAGGGAGGAGCCACGGGGAGGGGCCACGGGGAGGAGCCTGGGGAGGAGCCACAGGGAGGAGCCATGGGGAGGAGCCACAGGGAGGAGCCATGGGGAGGAGCCACGGGGAGGAGCCATGGGGAGGAGCCACGGGGAGGGGTCTGGGGAGGAGCCATGGGGAGGAGCCTGGGGAGGAGCCTGGGGAGGAGCCCGAGGGCTTACTGGGCTCTGCCAGGCCCCTTGGCCCTCAGCCTGTTGCTCACCCCCTGCCAACTTGCCCCTGCTCCTCCTCAGGTGACAGAGATGCTGAGTGTCCCCAGGAGTCTGCTCCCTGCACCCCGGCCCCTGGCCCCTGCTGGGGCACAGCCTCTTCGCCGGAGCCAGGCAGCCCCGGGTCTGAGAGCAGAGGCCTCAGCCTCAGGCCCAGCCCCGTGTCCTCCTGGGAAGGCAGCCCGCAGCCCCACAGCTGCCACCCCGGCAGCGTTCTCCCCACATGGACTCTGGATGCTGCCCACCCTTCACCCCTGGAGACCAATGGGGTAACGCCAAGCTCCTCGGAGAGAGAGGAGGCCGGAGAGGGTCCAGTCCCAGGGGCGGAAGTGAAGTGTGAGGGCCCCGCTGGCCCTGCAGAAGCCAGGACTGTCCAGCCCGATGCGCACCCCACTTCCACAGGCGGGTAAGTGTGGGATGGGCCGGCTCTGGCTCCTATGGGTGCGTCTAGGGGCACCCTGGTCTGGGAGCATGAGCAGTGTCCACTGGGATTTAACACACTAGTGCGTTTAGTCAGGGTTGTGTGCCAGGCACCGGCAGGGATCTAAGGAAGTCGGGGGACTTGAAAGCACCAGGAACCACAGAGCAGACAGTCATATACATGGGGCGGGACTGGAGTGTGTTGAGTCAGGACCCCAAGGATCTGTCCAAAGCTGGACAGCTGGAGAGGCGGGGCAGTGTCCAGGACACCTGACCAGGGCCACGTGCCCGGAGAGAAGGGACTCGTGCTGGCTGTGGGGTGTGCGAGGTCAGAGCACGTGATGGATGCTTTGAGTTTGAGGCAGCATCTGGGAGAAAGTCACGGAAGAGCTGGGGCCCAGGGAGCTGGCCCAGATTCCCGGGGATGCCTCGGCACCAAGGCGGGGTCACACCCAGGGAGTGGGTCTGGGGCCCAGAGCTGGATCCAGTAACCCCAGAACTGTGATCAGAGGTGGGAACAGGCCCGGTGGGAAACCAGCCTTGTTCCACCCCTCTGGATGCCGCGTGGACATTGGCTCCTGGGGTCTCCACTCAGAAAAGGGCCTTGTTCTCTGGTTAGCCAATGAGGGGCCATGTTGAAGAGACCACAAGGAAGCAGCAAGGGTTCAGGTCATGGACCTGAAGTTGCCTGGCTGCAGGGTCCACCCCACTCCCATCTCAGTCCGGGTGATGACCTCGGAACCGATCATAACAGGACCAGAGGGCCATCCTCGTGCACCTGGAGCACTGCTGGCCCTGCAGGTGTTCAGAGCCCGGGTGATCCCAGGGTCTCTCGGTCTACACAGAGAGGGTCACTGTACCAAAATTAAAGTTACTTCAGCCCAAAATAAAATCAGGAAATCCATCTAATGCGAGAACCATACTTTTGTGGTAAATAATCAGAGGTTTAATTGGGGCTTTTCTTGGTAAGTAATATTAAATATTCCATAGATAACTTTATTTAATCTTATATTTAACATGCTATTACAGGTTTAATTTTCCAGGCATAAGCTTGCTGGCCCAATAGGTATCTTTCATTCACACTTGACTTTCACAGTGAGCTCATAGAGGTTTATTTTATTTTATTAACAGCTCTGGTAAGATACAATTCACTTATTTAAAGTATGCAATCCCATGACAATTTATATTTGCTTAGTGGGTTTTTTTCCTCCAAAGTGTCTCTCCATCTAGGTATCATTTTAGGAACGACACTAATTGACAAGGTCATTTTTGTAAAAGTATGTTAGGGCTTTGTCAGCTGATTATCCAAATAGTTCTCTTCCGATGGGACACGTGTGTCAGTTTTATTTCCTGCTCTGCACTTGTTCACCGGCCTGACCCTCCGGCCCCTCTCAGTGGTTTTCCGTGTGAGGCTGTCTTCCCGCATCACCTCCGCTGACTTCACGAAATCCTAGGGGTGTTTCATAAGATTTGTGACTTTTCTGTTGGCTTCCATGACCTTTGCCCTGCTCTGCTGGGTGTGTCTGAGCCTCAGAGTGTCGTGAGTCGTTACCAGCAAAGACACTGTCCCAGTCGGGTCAGAGATGGACCTGTTCCGAGGAGAAAGGGCGAAATTGCCATGTTATGATGAGTTCTGCTTCCCTGAGCAATCCCTGACTGGCAGCGTGGAAAATGAGCGTTCAGCTGAGGAGGACACCCACGCCGGGGTGATGTTGCTGGGGAAGCAGCAGTGTCGGGTGGAGATGGGACATGGTGACATCTGAGGCTCTGAACGTCAGACTTCGAGTCCGTTGGGGGGTTGCTGGCCGGCGCTCACTCCTCACAGGTCACCGTCCCACTTCCCACCGTGAGGCCTTTCTTCACACCGTACAAGGGAGAGACTGAACCCTCGACTCAGCCTCCACCACTCCTAACGCCAGTCTAGCCTTCTCTTCTGCCTCGGCCAAGCACCTTCCTCGGCCCCAGGCCCGGCAGTGGGAGCCGGAGGTTAGGGACGGAGGATAGGTATTCTGAGGGCCCCTCCACGACTCGTCCCAGAACCCGTTTGTATCCATCCAAATGAGAGGCTGAGGACATTGGTGGACTTTTCCAGGCTTCCCGAGAGCCCCACGCCCCAAGTGAAGCCCCCAGAGGAGGGCCCGAGGCTGCAGGCTGCAGACCAGCTGGCTAACGGTGTCGGGACCCACAAGCTGGCCTGGGACCTGGCCTCCCGCCTCTACCGCCTGGAGGGCTTCCGGAAGTCCGAAGTGGCCGTGCACCTGCGGAAGAAGTGAGCGCCCTGGGAGGTCCAGGCCGAGGCTGGGCGGGCTTGCTCCACGGGCGGCCCCTCCCCTTGTCCCTGCTGACCTCACCCCATCGTTCCTGTCCCGGCTGCACCCCTTCCCCTGTCCCTCTCCACGCCCCCCCCTCCTCTCGGTCACACTGCTGTCACTCCTTCTCTACACCCCGACCCAGCTTAGAGCCACTGGCCCGGCCACTTTGCCTCCCTGCCCTGACGCCACACGCCCCTCCCACCCAGCATGGGGTGGGTGCCTGTACAGACCAGACCCAGGCTGCCTCTTGCCCTCTCTGGACCCAGGGTCCCGCTGGCTGGGCCCCTGTCTTGCTCGGGGCCCCCACCCCCACTCCTGAGGCCCTGGGTGCCCCCTGCGCCGGTGCCCCCCCCCCCAGACATTATCCCCGCTTCCCTCCACAGCAACGACTTCAGCAGGGCTGTGGCTCAGGAGTATCTGTCCTTCTTCCAGTTTGGTGGCCAGAGCCTGGACCGTGCCCTCAGGTAACACTTGGGCCCCCTCTGGGAGGCAGGGTGGCGGGGCTAGGATCTGGCCGGAGCCCCGGGGCCTGCGGGCCGGCCAGCCCGGGCGCTGTCCTGACCCTGGCCCTCCTCCCAGGGGCTTCCTCCAGGCCCTGGTGCTCAGCGGGGAGACCCAGGAGCGCGAGCGAGTCCTGTACCAGTTCTCCAGGCGCTTCCATCACTGCAACCCTGGGCTCTTCTCCTCAGTAGGTAGGAGGGCGGGGCCCTGGGGTGCCGGGGAGGGGGGCGGGGCCTGTCCCAGGCCTGCTCAGGAGCTCCCCGGGTGGCAGCTAGTGGGAGTGTTTGGGCGCTGTGGAGAACCAGCAGCCGGTGGAGTCACCTGCGTGTGGCAGAGGGAAAGCAGAGTCCGGCTCCAGTGTTTCCTCTCCGCTCCCCTCTCTGGAGCAGATTCCGTGCACACCTTGACCTGCGCCATCATGCTCCTTAACACGGACCTGCACGGACAGGTGAGCCAGTGGGGGGCGCCTGTGGGGCCTGAGGCTGGGCCGACGGGGCCGGAAGGAGGGGGGTGAGACCAGAGGTGTAGGATGGGGCCAGGGAAGGCCGTGGGAACTGGAGAAGGTTCCAGAGTGGCTGGCGGGGGGTTACCCTGTCGGGTGGGGGTCTCAGCTACCCCACTTCTCTCCATGGCCACAGAACATCGGGAAGACTATGAGCTGCCAGGAATTCATCAGCAACCTGAACGGCCTGCAGGACGGCGGAAACTTCCCCAAGGAGCTGCTCAAGGTGCGAGTACCCGGGCTGCCCACAGGAAGGCTCCTGCTTGGGCCTGGGGCCTGGTTCCTCAGCCAAGGCGGAGTGCTGAGCTTGTCCTCCGGAGGACAGGGCCTGTTTACGGACTGAGGCGTCACTGTGGGGTTAGCTTGTGCAAATTCCCAGCCCTGGCCCCGGACCTACTGAACCGGACTTCTGGGGCTGGGGGCCCCAAAATGGTCATTAAGCCTGGTTCCGAGGCCTGTGAACTCTGAGGAGCACTGGTTTCTCTTTCTCCAAGTGAACAAAGGCAGAACTTCAGGAAGAACACCTAGGGCCAGGAGCCGGGTGGTTTGAATTCTGGTCTCGGACAATGTAACCCGTGGCCAACTCGGGTTCCTCCGGGGTCAAACCTCTGAGCGTGGTCACGACGACATCAGGTCCGTCAGGTGCCCAGCACAGTGCCTGCCACACAGCCTGCTCTTCATGAGCAACCTCTGTCTCGTCAGTGAACATTTATTGAGCACTTACTGTGTGCCAAGCACCTGTCGGTATGCCCAGGGCTACACAAAGCTGGCAGGACACTCTGTATTACATCATTCGAAAGTTCGGCACCCCAGTTATTCATTCATTCATGCATGCATGCATGCATTCACTGTACAGTTATCGGCCCTATCAGTCAGCTGCTCCTGCTCTGTCAGCTCCTCCGGGCAGGATGGCATGTTCCCTTGAAGAGAACAAGTTCAGGCCTCACTGAGCTCGGGCAGGGACGAGGGCAACTGTGGTCACCTTGTCTCCAATTTCCAGCACAGTGTCCAGCATGTGGCAAATGATCCATAAATGGTTGTGTGCGTGGGTGTGCGTGTGTGCATGCGTGTGCACATGCGTGCGTGCACCATGTATGCATGAGCTCCTTGCCATTCAAGGAAGGAGGGCGGCTGCGCTGGGGGCGGAAGAGGCAGGCTGCAGCACGCCCCCACCCTACTTCTGCCCGATGGAGCTTGGGCCTCGCAGCCTGAGGCTCCCCTGACCACCTATGCCTCTGTTCCAGGCCCTGTACTGGTCTATCCGAAGCGAGAAGCTTGAGTGGGCCGTGTAAGTGAGAGCACCTTCCCCTCCCCGCACTTCCTTACCCGTGGGCCTGTGCCCCCTCCATCCCCCAGCCCACCTGAGAGAGGGACAAGTTCAGGCCCTGGGCCAGTCTGAGGATGGATGAGCCAGAGGCAGGGATTTGGGGAAGACAGGTACTGATGGGTTGGCTTTGAAAGATTTCTTTTGGGGTGTCCTGAGGTGTAGCTCCCCAGCAAGAGAGAGAGGATGGGGCGCTGAGGCAATGGGTACCTCCTGGTGGCCTCTGCCCAGTCTGCACCTTAGCCTGCTTTTCTCTGTTCAGGGATGAAGAAGACACAGCCAGACCTGAGAAGGCCCAGCCGTCACCCCTAGCTGGCAAGATGAACAGCCCCCTCCTCCAGCTGGCCCAGGACCCCACGGTGCCCACCTACAAGCAGGGCATCCTGGCTCGGAAGATGCATCACGACGTGGACGGCAAGAAGAGTGGGTGTCTGCTGCGCACGGGGCCTCTGGGGGGCGGTGTGGGGTGGCTCTGCTCAGCCACACCTGCCGTTGTGTGCACAGGCTGAGGACAGGCAGCTCACACTGTGCCGCGTCGGTGCTGGTGTGCCGGCTGCAGTGCCAGGCACCTGCCAGAGGGTGGGGTGCGGGCCCAAGAGGGACCTCATATCCTCGCCCCCAGAGCCCCTGTGGCGAGGCAGAAATCAGACAAGCACGTCAGTGTCTGCGTGGTCTCAGGAGGGCTAGATCACGTGTGGAATGTGGAAGAGGGCAAGGTTTGGGGTTTTGTTTTTGGGGTGGGGTGGGGGAGACAGGAGGGTGGGTTAAGGCTTCTGGGCAATGATGTTATCGAAGCTGAACCCTGGAGGGTCTGGGTATGTGAAGCTGGGCGGAGGGCGTCCCACAGAGAAAGGAGCCGGCATAGTTTGTTCCAAACACGGGTGTGTGCGAACAGCAGGCGTGCATCGGGGCAGAGTCCCCGGCTCTGCAGTTGGGCCTCAGTCGCAGGTGGCTGGAGCTTTAGAACAGGGCAGCATCGTGACCAGAGCAGGAGTCCCAGATCAGATGGGCCAGCCAGGGCACCAGTGCAAGGCTGGGGTGACCACGGGGCAAGCCTCCTCCTGCCCAGGGGCTTGAGCCCCCGGCTTCTCTGGAAAGGTTCATAAAGTTGAAGTCATCTTGCAGGGACCAGAAAGATGTCTGAGTGGGGGCTGTGCTTGTGAGTAGATGTGTCTAGAGAGGGGATGGTCTGTCTGAACGTCTAATTTCCTGTTGTTTGTCAGTAGTGCTCATCTGTTTTGGTTTCCATGTGTGAATGCTTGTGTGTGAGACATGGTACATGCCTGTTTGTGACTGTGTGCTTATGTGCACCTGGAGGCTGGGGGAGGCCTGGAGCCGGTGTGAGGGGTGGGCGAGGGGTCCTGGGTGTGTCAGGGTGGGGTGCCTTCTCACTTGTGTTTCTGCTCCGGGAGCAGCGCCATGGGGCAAGCGTGGCTGGAAGATGTTCCACACCTTGCTTCGAGGGATGGTCCTCTACTTCCTGAAGGTACGAAGGGCGACCACATGCTGACGGGCAGGGTGGGACACGGGGAAAGGCCCAGACCGTTGGCATGGTGGGCACTCGTGAAAAATCTCTTTTCTGAGCCGTTGTGCCTTGTGGCAGGGAGAGGACCATGGCACCGAGGGGGAGAGTTTGGTGGGGCAGATGGTGGACGAGCCTGTGGGGGTGCATCACTCCCTGGCCTCCCCGGCCACCCACTACACCAAGAAGCCACACGTCTTCCAGCTGCGGACTGCCGACTGGCGCCTCTACCTCTTCCAGGCACCGTGAGTCTGGGGTGGACGATAAGCAGAAGGGCCCCAGCTTCCTGGCCCCTGAGCCCTGCTCACCCCTGGTGGCTGCCCGCCCGGCCCTGAGGGAGCTGCCATCGTGCCCAGCAGACCTTAGCTGCAGAGCTGGAAGGGGCCTGGGCTGCACACTGCCCAGGGCTTCCTGCTCCCCCGCCCTCCCCATGCCCACGTTGCAGCGTGTGTCTCTTCCTTGTAAGTCCAGATCGGCCTCCCAGTTCTGAACAGAGGATTCCAGGAAGTCATTAACATTATCTCTTTTTGTTGTTGTTTTGGCATTTGATACACAATCTGTTGCCTTCTGGGATTTTCCTCTTTGATGAAGGAGAAAACCCACCCGGGAGCTTAACCAGGGCGCTAGCAGCAGGGCTTCTGGCTTTTTGAGGCTGGAGTCCTGAGATGCTGGGCTGCTGTGAGAACACAGGAGCTGGGGGCGGGCAGAGGCGGCAGGACCTGCTCTGTGGCCCTGGGGACCCACGCCTCTCTGCCCTCAGCACCGCCAAGGAGATGAGTTCCTGGATCGCGCGCATCAACCTGGCCGCCGCCACGCATTCAGCACCGCCCTTCCCGGCCGCGGTGGGCTCCCAGCGCAGATTCGTGCGCCCCATCCTGCCCGTGGGCCCTGCCCAGAGCTCTCTGGTAGGCTCCGGAGGGGAGGGTGCAGCAGGGCGGGGCTGAGGGTTGAGGGTTGTGCACGGACTGGAAGACTAGAGTGGAGATGGGAGCGGCTGCGCACCAGGCCTGGGAGGGAGGAGGGGCTGCTGCAAACCTGGACGGGGAAGGGGTGTGGAGCTGCACACCTGGCTCTGGGAACTGAGGGGGTGGGGTGAGCTGTGCAGCTGGGCCCAGAAGGAGGGGGAGCTCTGGATTGCTTCTCTCACCGTCTCCTGCAACTAGGAGGAACAGCACCGATCCCACGAGAACTGTCTGGACGCTGCCTCCGACGACCTGCTGGATCTGCAGAGGAACTTACCAGAGCGGCGGGGCCGCAGCCGGGAGCTGGAGGAATACCGCCTGCGGAAGGAGTACCTGGAGCACGAGGTGAGCCGCCGGCTCACGCCCGCCCCCTGGTGGCCGCGTCCGACCCTGCAGCCTCCGCTCCCTTGTCGCCCCGGGCTGGCGAGGTGCTTGCGTGCGCATGTCTGCACGCGTGCTTGCGCCGGGTGCGTGTCCTTGTGTTCTGGGATCACAGATCAGCCGCTTATCTGAAACACTACTAGGGGACATTATATTTTTTAAATATTTTTTTTCCTAAGCGTATGTTTGGCTTTTCCTAACTTGAAGGAAGAAGTGTATTTTAGATTATTATTTCCCCGATATCCAGCTAATAATAATAGCTTGTATTACTTGCATGGATTATCTTTAAATTATCCAATAACTCCAGGGTAGGGGCTGTCATCTTCATTTTATAGATAAGGAAATTGAGGCATGGAGAGAGCAAATAACTTGCCCAAACCTGACAGTTTACATCCAGTCACAAGCAGTCTTAACGAAGAAATGACCTTTATTAGTCCTGTGATCCATCCAAAATGTTTTAACCTCCAACCCCCACCCCACCTGAATTCTGCTTTGGCCTGAGGTTGGTGCACATTCTAGGACCCAAGCGGCAAGTGTAGGTGAGGGGCAGTGTGACAACAGAGGGGTCAGAGGTGATCCAAAGGCAGAGACCAGAGAAGCCATCAGTGTTGCCTGGGCCCCTTGGCTACCGTCTCCTTTCCTGGCCACCCCTCTGGCTTTTTGTTGCGTTCCTGGCTGTGAGCACAGCGCTTCCAGGAGAGCCTGGGTGTGGCCAACAGGCCCGGGTCTGCCTGCAGACTTCCAGCCCCTCCCCGCCACTAATCCGCAGGATCCTGAGCAGCCACTGGCCCTCCCAGTCCTCCTTTTCCGCTTTGTAAGCTGGGACAGTGGGGTGTGCCCCACCCAACCTCCCAGACTGGGACCACGACCCCATGGGATGGAGGATGAGATAGCACTAAGCAAACGTATCTGGAGGTTCCAGTTACAGAGTCCTAAGGAGTGCTGAGCAGAGCTGGGCCGTCAGCATCACGCTCTCCAGACGCCGGTTGTCAAAGTGCTGTTCAGACTCTTCTGGGTTTCAATGCAGACGTGAGCCGTCTGTGTGCGGCACAGGTCTCAGCCTGGCGGGTCACGGATCTGCCAGTGTCTGGGAGATGTTGGTGCAGCACTCCATGGCGTTGGCTGTTCGAACAGGTCTGGGCTGGTTGGTGTTACTATGATACTGTCCAGATAATGGCAGGGCCCTAACGCTCCTGCTGTGGTCTGCAGAAGTTTTTATCACCATAGCTTCGTACACGTGTGAACTGTCTGTCCCTCGTGATTCCAGCCTCCTCCCCACCTGGATCCAGGTGGCGCTTAAGGGGAGGGTTCCTGTGTTTGCAGAAAACCCGCTATGAGATGTACGTGGAGCTGCTGGTGACTCGTCTGCACTGCCCGTCGGACGACCTGGACCTGTGGGAGGAGCAGCTGGGGAAGGAAGCTGGAGGCGCCCAGGAGCCCAAGCCCAGCCTGAAAAAGTCCCACTCCAGCCCATCGCTGCACCAGGACGAGGCCCCCACCACGGCCAAGGTGAAGCGCAACATCTCGGAGCGCAGGACGTACCGGAAGATCATCCCCAAGCGGAACCGCCATCAGCTGTGAAGCGCCCCTCACAGACCCTGGCCGCCTGCTCTGGGGCAGACCTGGGACCTGGGGTGAAAACCTGTGGGGAGCCCATTTCAGGGGCACCTCCCTGCTGGAGAACAGCCTGTCTCCCTCTCGAGCTTTCTGAATACTGCTCGCCCCGCCCCCCATGGTACGTCCTCAGCTGCCCCAGTCCTGGCCCCTCCCCAGGGAGGAGGGACGCCAAGGATCCGGCTCCACCGCCACAGTTTGTCCCATGTCACTCTTCACTCCTCAAAACCCAGAGTAGCCACTTTTCCTGGGCTCAGCACTTGCTCGTGAATCAGAGCTCGATGGCCCCTGAGCTTCCGGGAGAGAGCCTGGGGCAGCAGAGGCCTCTGGGAAGTCATGCCCTGGGGGTGCTCTTGCGCTGGGAATCAGGTGACCTGCTGGGAGCGGCCCTGGAAGACCCCCACTAGCTTCCTGGGACTGAGGGAGCCGGGTGGCCCAGGCCCTGCTCTGGGAGAGGGGCAGCTATCAGGGCGCAGGGCCTCGGCAGCAGGGGCGCAGGGCCTCGGCAGCAGGCAGGCAGGCGGCAGGGCTCTGTGAGGCTGACTCTGGGTCCTGCGCCTTTGTCTGTTCTTCCCTGTCGCGGGCCCTGCACCAGAGCCAGTGAGAGCGCCCCGCCTTCCGTGCCCAGTTGCTAATCATCAGAGCAGAGCCAATGGCCCCAAAGCGGTGGGGGCTCCAGAGCTCTAGGGAGCCCTGGACAAAGCGCCTTTGTGTCCCCAGAGTCAGGAAGGAGGTTCAGATCCCTGGGGAGGCTGAGGGTGAGAGGTGGTGACACATCCCCTTGGGCTCTCTTGGCAGGAGCTGCAGCTGAAAAGAGTTTGAGGGTCGTGGTGGGGGCCTGGACCCCCTCCCACATACCCCATCCCTTAGAGCTCCATTCCCCAGGACCACCAGGCCCCCTCTGGACCCCTGCCCGCCCTGGGAATTCCCCCTGAGCTGCTCTCTGGCTGCTTTCTGCTAGGCCTGTTCTCAGGCTGGGTGGGTTCCGGACACTCACGGACCTGCGGCTGTGCCTGTGGGAATGAGGCTGGGCAGGAGGAGCAGCCGCCATTGTCTCTGTTCAGCCAAGTGTGCCCACAGGCTGCCCGCCAAGAGGGGCCTCTCTGCTGCTCGCTCGCCACCCGCTGGCCGACACACTGCCTCTCCAGCCTTCCTGCTGGGCCTCCTCCTCCCATCCATGCTGTAAGCAGCCCTGTGGCCTGGAACTCACCCAAGTGGGGCTGGCCCGTGGGGGCCATGAGAGGGTTCTGACCAGGGCCTGGGCTGAGCCATGCACCCAATGGGTGTGCAATAAATACAGGCCAGTAAAGAGAGGTGCAGTGTGTGTGACGGGAGAGGGTTGGGCAGCTCTAGGCAGCTGGGGCCACCTGGAGTCTGTCAGGCTGTACCCCCTCTGTCCTGCAGGCATATGCATGTCTGCCAGTGTGCGTGTGTATGTGTCTGCATGCGTCTGTGTGTGCATGTGTGTCTGCATGTCTGTGTGCATGTGTCTGCGTGTCTGTGTGCATATGCATGTCTGTGTGCATGTGCGTCTGGTGTGTATGTGTGTCTGCATGCATATGTATGTGTGTCTGCGTGTACATGTGTGTCTGTATGTGTGCATGTGTATCTGTGTGTGGGTGTCTGCGTGTCTGCATGTGTGTAGAGCACTGTGTTTGTGTGAAGGAGTCACATTTACTGACTGTCACACTGGAGGAGACCTCTGAATCATTTATTCACCCACTCACTTGTTCATTTATTCATTTCATAAATAATATTGACCCCTTTTCATGGACCAGTGCCAAGGCACTCAAAACTGAATTGAACACATCCCTGACCTCCCCAGAGTTGACAGTTCTGCTCCCTGGTTCTCTGCTGTCGGCACAGAGACACTCATCTTGCTGTGGAGGTGAGCGGAAGACACCTTCCTACCTGCGCACAGGGTTTGGGTTCCGCGGGTTTAGCTCCGGGGCGTGGACGTGCAGTCCTAGGGCCCCGGGCCCTCTGATGTACAAGGCAGGTAACAGCTCGACAGTCACGTTACTGAGAGGGAAGCCTGGTTCCAGGTGGACGTGACTTGGCCCAGGACGGATGCTTCGGCTAGATGGCCTCGGATGAGTTATTTGACCTCACTGAACATGGACCCTTATTTCTAAAACAAGAATGAAAGGCAGAAGTTTGTCTGCATGTGTGTAGCACTTGATGCTTCTCTGCCCATGTAGAACGGGCACCTCCCTTCCACTTGGGCACACGAGGCCTGTGCAGCCCGGGGAGGGCGACCAGGCCCTGGCTGTGCTGCCAAGCCACACTGCCTGAGGCCTGGGGTGGAGGCTGGACTGTCGGGCTGCAGCTATGGCAGATGGCCACTGGAGGGCGGGCTTGCATCTTCCTGGCTCCTGGGCCCACTGATGGCAGGAAGTCAGTCTGCCCTGTCATCTCCAGAGCCAGCAGTGGCCCAGACCAGGTCTCTCATATCCAGACACGTCTCCACCTCACAAAGGGTAAGGACTTCGAGATCGTCCTGCAGATGAGAGGAAAAAAATGTCAGGAGCCTTATGGGGACAGCCTAGAGCTGCCCACAGAATTGTCCTAGGTGATCCACGGAAGAGAAAAGAAACCCAATCCTAGGTGTGGGGCAGGTCAGGCCCACAGGCCTACCTGTGCCCTTGCCTCCCCCCTCCTCCCCACGGGCCGTGGATTAGTCGGTCTCTGCAGGAGGGGAGGCGCAGGTCCTCCGAGAGGAGCTCGGCGTCTGTGGGGTGGTAGAAGGGTGTCTTCAGCTCCGCCTTCCCATCCAGGGCCCTGCACGGTCATGACTCAGGTGGGAACCCAGCCATAAACTCTTCCCGGTCTCTCAACGCCTCTGCGACCTGCCTTCCTGCTAAGGCATCGCTTGTCTGTCGTTTGCCAGGCACCAGGGAAGAATAAAAGGTCACTGCGGCCGTGGCCTGGGTCCTTTCCCCTGGGGCTCAGCATCAGATGGACACAGTGGAGTGTGTCGGGTTGGAAGGAGCTGGGCTGAGGGTGTGGGGAGGCTGGCTGAGCAGGGTACGAGGGCTGAGGCCAGATCATAACAGACCCCAGGAAGCCCAGGAGTGTCCTTTTCCAGCAGAGGAGGGACCTGTTCACGGCTTGGGGACAGCCGAGGAGCCTTGCTTTCATGACTGGAGGGAGTCAGGCCAATTGGCAGGGTCGGAATGCGGCCTGGAGATGCTCTGTGCTATTAGTCTGTGCTTCCGCAAGTCCGAAGCAAACAAATCCAAGGGGAAAGGAAGCCAGCGGCCTGGAGCCTGTGACAGGAGGGTCCTGCACCTGGCCCTCCTCCTGCCTTCCTCCCTGTCCCGCGTGCTTCCGGCTTCCCGAATGCTGCCCTCTGATGGCTCCTCCCACCACCTCTGCCAACACCTTCGCCTCCAGCTCTTCTGGGTGCCCGTGTCCCTCACCTCGCACGGTGGCTCACACCAATACCTGTCCCTTCCTTTTCCCTTCCCTGCTCACCATGAACCTGTCTTCCTCAGGGACCCTAGCTGGGTCCTTGGGCCTGATATCCCCCCCCTGCATCATCTCCCCTCGCAAACACCCTCAAGTGTGACCGTAACAAAGAAAAAGGTGGTCTCCCTCTGTCCCTCCCTCCCCTGGCTCCCGGCTCCCATCCTCCACTTGCAAATTGGCTTCTACCCCCACCCCCTAAAAGGCCACCACCCAAGAAGGGCCACTGAGGACCCTCAGTCATCAAGTCCCATGTCTTTTTCTTGGCCTTCATCCTCCTCCCCCTCAGTGACCTTTGGCCCGTCGGCCACACAACCTGTCTGACCTGTGCAGGCCATCGTGACAGGGCCGTGGCTGCAGGCCGGAGCCGACCGCCTGGGAGGGAGTCCTGGCTGTGCTCCCATCAGCTCCTCTATGAAGTGGGGTGACAACGCTGCTGACCTCACCGGCCCTCGGAGGGTTAGTGCCGTTCTGCACGTACACACCTGAGAACAATGCCCGACGCAGAAGGAAATCGGGCAGTTCAGCTATTAGTGCACGGCCTCACCGGCCTCACCTCGCGCGCCCGCCCCTCTGGGCTCTGGCGCCGTCTCTGACCCAGACCTGGGAGTCCGCTTTGAGGCTGGGCCTTTGCACACGCCTCCTCCTGCCTGGATGCTCAAGTCACACATCTCAGCTCAGATGGGCTTTATCAGGAAAGGACATTGACTGGCTTCAATAACTAGATGGTCTGTATCCAGGACCCCCTGGGCTCCATCACCCAGGCTTAGGAGGCAGGGGCAGCCTCCTGGTACCAAGATGGTCCAGCAGCTCCCAAGGCCCCCCTTCTGGGTGTGCATCTGGCACACTGACGATATCTGTTCTTTAGAGAATTTCTTTGAGCAGCCTGCCCTGGGCCATGGCCCACCTCGGAACCAATCACTAGGGTCAGGGGCTTCTGGTAATCAGAACCCATCTTCCGAGATGGGAGTGGCATGACTGGGGGCAAACCCCCCAAGAGATGGGCCCTGGGACCAGCTGAGGACAGACTCTGAGCCTACAGGGAGAGGAAAGAGGAGACGCCCGCCGTCACCTGCAGGAAGCCTTCTCTGAGCCTCCTCCCAGCTGTTCTCTGTCACACGGAATCCACAGATCCCCGGTTCCCCCTCTGGCCTCCCCTGCTGTCCCTGCTCTGTCCCAGAACATGCCCTCCCGGGGGCGGGGGCTCAGGCAGGCTGGCACCCACTGCATCCCCAGGACCCTGTCGAGGGCCTGACACCGAGGGTAGAAAACGAGAGCCTCAGCTTCACCCTCCCAAGCCCTTGCCCTCCAGGACTCCCTGCCCCTCCTCTGCTCTCCCTCCCAGCCCTGAACCCAGCCTTTCCACAGGGCCTGGTGCCTGCAGGGCCGGGGGAACTCGCCTCACCGGAGCCCTGCCCGTCTGCTCTGCATCCAGACCTGGAGCGCCAGCTGCCTGGGGGACGTGGTCCAGTACATCTCCCTGGGAAGGGCCAGTGTCTGTACAGAGGTCACTTATTATACCTCCGTCGGCACTCGGCTGTCTCCTCCCGACTCCCTGTTCGTAGGATTCTGCGGCGCTTTGCCCGGGGCTTTGGAAGACAGCACCCAGGACGGGGGAGAGGAGCCGGGCAGGCCTTCCCCTCGCCTCTGGCGTCAGGTAGACGCATCTGTTCTCTGAGCTCTTTGTCCCTCTCTGCTTTGACAGGGACGGGGTTGGGAGGGACATGACGGAGAAGCAGTGACTCCTTCCTCCCCAAATGAACCAGGTACGTGACTGAACAGCTCTTTCACCTGGACGCCGGGACTCACGGCCCGTGTCCAGCTCCGGGCCGCTCGGGCCGCCAGACCACCGGCCGCCGGTTTCCTGCGGTCCCGATGCTTTGTTTCTCCTTCGGACCCGACTCCCCGCGGCATGCATTTCCCGTGAGCTGTCTCGAACCCTCCGCAACAAGGTGGGGAATACATTAATATTTAAAATAAGATAAACAAAATGTCAGCGTGTGTGTACGTCTCAGGCTGGACATTCCTTAAGGGCAAGGACCATGTCTGTTTACATAGCACCTGGCACGGTGTCAGACTGGGGCTTAACAATGAACTCCGACGAAGACGAGAAGGAAGCTGCCCACATGGATCGAGGAGGTCTAGACACCTCCATCCAGCTGGGCCTCCACCAAACCCCCTGGGCCAGGGTACCCTTCCTCCTGCCGACCCGAATCCTCACCTGCTCCTGACCACCCAGGCTTCGTCCTGTCTTCCCTGCCCCGTCCCCACACCAACCTGGTCCTCGCCCACTCTGCTCTCTGAGGTGGGCCCCTTCCTCACCCAGACGCAGCAGGGCCACACTCACCCCGGGCTCCCCTGCCCACCTCCACCTGCTGCCCGGCCCCGCAGGCTCGTCCAGGGCCTGGCAGTATCTCAGGGAACAAGGAGATGCCAGAAGCTGAGCCGACAGAGGTGCTGTCCCCAAGCGTGCCTTGGCCCGAGGGCCTCCAGCCAGGTGGGGACCTGGCAGAGGGAGGGAGAGGATAAGCTGCTTCAAAACTCCAGACGCAGCAGTTAAAAGGAGGACAGAGGCAATGATCCTTCAAATTGCCACATCTGTATAATCTGCCTTTTATTTTCTGCTTCATGAAGTTTTATTTCCTATTATTTATTCACCTCCCCGCCCTCCCCTCCCCCACCCCAGCTCCTCCTTAGCGGGCGACATGCTCAGATGGGCCCTGAGCCTTAGCTGGGGTCTGGCCCACCCCCAGCTCCCTCCTGGGCCGGCTGCCGGAGAAGCCACCTGCTCCCTCCACCGCGTGGCAGCCTCGGGCCCTCCCACCATCCTCCAAGTAGAGCTGGAGGAAATGTGGGTGGAGGAAGGGATGGGGAGGTGAGGCCCGTCCCCAAGGCCTGTGCCGTCGTCACCACCCCTGGGCCGGAGCGATGGGGAAGAAGAGCTAAGGTCTAGAACTCACAGCCCGTGGGCCTCCACCTCCATGTGCCAGTCTCCCTTCCTGGGTTCCTTTCTCACCCTCCTACCCA